AGCTTGCATGCAAACCTACAAATACCCCTACAGATCCTAATTATAAAATTAGAGAAGCAAATGAAAATTCTGTTATAGATAGAGAGATGTACCAAAGATTAGTTGTAAGACTCATTTATCTCTCGCATATTAGACCTGATATAGCATACGCTATGAGTGTGGTAAGTCAATTTATGCATAGTCCTAAAGAAGTGCACCTAAAGGGTGTCTATTGTCTATTGCACTATTTGAAGGCCAATACCGGGAGAGGTATCTTATTCAAAAGAAATTTGAGGCTAATTCTAGAAGCATGTACAGATGCTGATTAACAGGTTCAGTAACTGATAGAAGATCCACCTTGGGCTACTGCACTTTCTTAGGTGGTAATCTTGTGAGTTGGAGGAGTAAAAAACAGAATGTAACGGCAAGATCAAGTGCTGAAGCAGAGTTCAGAGCAATGACTCAAGGAATTTGAAAACTACTATGCTTAAAGATTATCCTAGAACACTTGAAGATTAAGTGGGATTGACCAATTAGACTCTATTGTAATAACAAGCCTGCAATAAGCATTGCACACAATCTTGTGCAACATGACAACAAAACATATTAAAGTAGACCGACATTTCATAAAGGAGAAACTAGACAGTGGGTTGATTTGTACACCTTATGTATTAACCAAGAGTCAACTTGCAGATGTGCTGACTAAAGGTCTCAGCAGTGCAACATTTCAAGAATTATTTTCAAGCTGGGAATGGAAAACACCTATTCACCAACTTGAGGAGGAGTGTGGGAAAACACTTATTTACCGCTGGTTGCAATCTTGTAATCTGTAGATTTATATTTGTATCTCTAGAATTAAGTATTTGTATCCCTAAAATTAAGGACAAAAAATTAGGATAGATAATCTCTCAATTATAGGATCAATTTTTAGGAAGATTTAGTTTCCTAATTTAACCCTAGTTAGTTGTGTATAAACCTAGAGTTCTTGTATAATTCTTAAGGAGCAATTTTTCAATATATATTCAGTTTTACTCTTAGTTTTTCACACAGTTTAATTTCTTAGTTTTTCTACAACAATCAATTAATCATATTTGTGTGCACGCATGCATGCATGCTTTTGTCTATGTATCTTCACACACAAGCAGTCATTTTAAAATTATCATAAACATTAGCAGGTATTTATGATTTTCCCCAAGCTCCAAATATTTCAGCTGCTTATAGTTTGAAAAGAATAAGTTATATAAACTTTCCAACAACTGTACCTCTTCTGGCAGATCATAGTATATTTCGTTGTATGGGATTTCACCTGGTGCTTGAAAAGAGAACTTGATCCAAGCAGGAATGAAGCCCTTAATCCTAGATGGAGTTTCCATATGAATCTACAATTATATGGTCAAAAAGTTAAAATGGACACATGGAAAAGAAGGTTTGGATGAATGATAATTGACATGATCATAACAGTCCACTCAAAGGAACAGAGCAAATACTTGAATAAAATTTGCTACAGCTTAGAAAAGAATAATGACTTGCAAAAGATAAAAACCTTCATTGTAAACAATACAATAAGATTCCATTTGATAGTTGCTTTTGCTACCAGCCTTTTGCTTCCAGAAGCATAAAGTACATTTAGATAGAAAAGACAATAATATTTTAAAAGAATTAAAAATAAAAAATATAATCTCTTGTAGAACAAAATACCATGATTTCTCTTTTAATAGAAAAATTATACTACAAATTCTATTGCATTTAACATATATATTTTCAAACAATTATGACTTTGCTTTCTCCCTTTTAGGTTTGTTCTTTAGAAACCTTTTAGAAAGCCAAAAGCAACTAGAAAAAACATAGTAAGAGTAAGGATCAATAACAGCCTAAATTCTCATGGCCATATTTGCATCAAGTCTATTGGAAGAATGACCATACAGTCTAAGCAGAAAAAGAAGATGAAGAGTTTATATTTTCATTTTTGCTATGAAAAACCTAGGAAAAACCATTTGCACAAAAACTGTAACAGCAAATAAAGCTGAATGGTGTGTTTCTGGTAATGATATTCTCCTACAAGTCCAATTATTACCTGTGCACAATATCCATAAGAACAAGTAGACCCAACTCTTGAGCCCTATCTATTAGTGAGTTAAGATCATCAGAGGTTCCAAAACGGCTGCTTGGTGCAAAGAAGTTTGTCACATGATACCTGCAACATATTAAATGCAACTCGTTAAAAGCAGAAGAGGTTAGTTTCCAAAACCAAAACTAAATTCTAAAGAAATATTTCTGTTTACATCCAAAACATAATGTTTTAGTATAAATTAACAAACATAAACAGCAACAAATAAAGATGAGCTGATATTTTGGTGGAGATAATACCCAAATTTAGCATAATACGAGAGCTCTTGAATTGCCATGATTTGAACAGCATTATACTCAAGTCCTTTATTGCGGGGAAGCACATCATCTCTAAAGTTGGCATATGTGTTAATTATTGGCTCCTACATCTCAGAGTTGATAATATTAAGAAAACTAGGAAATGGATTAACCATACCAAAATGTAGCATGGTAAATAAAGACTAAAGGTGTTTATGGGACAAATTTTCTTTGAATGATAGTATGATGAAAACTAGAGATAAACTTTGGTTTATTTGCAAATTTAGGTTTCTTAATGGGTTTTAGAAATTGGTGAAGAATCATAATGAAATGCAATCAAACCAACTTCTATGTTATTGATTTGAAACTGCTATTTAAGATATATCTATACACGAAGCAGTTAATAGAGATCCAAGTCACTAGCTGTTTGGCATTTGCATTATCATTAACTAATGTAATACTCATTATTTAGTATAATCCCAATGGAAGGACTTCCTTTAACCAAAGAACACGAAATGTAGGCTGTATGCCCCTACATGGCTTTTTTCTAGCTTAATTTGACAGATTTTCTCTTTAAGAGAGGCCACCTTGCCTACGGGATGCAGGAAAGTTCCACTTCAAAATTTACAGGCCTTTTCAGACAGCTATATTGTTTGATGCTCTTAAAGATGTTCGATGCGAGTCAAAATGTCTCTCGATCTTTCTTTTTTTTGAAAGGGGGTAAACTTGATCGTTAAAATACAAATACTTAGATAAGTTTTCCTGTAAAATGTATTGTCTTCGAAAACCTCCTGCTTTACTTTTCAGTCCCAAAACCTTACAGGAACACTTCAAAGGAAGGGTTGAAAGAAATAGCATAAAAAATATGATCTCACACATGATAGCATTTAATGAAGCTTTTTATCAAACTTAAAGTTTCCTGATTAAATAAATCAAGGAAATGCAATTCAGCACAGAGACAAAAGAGTTGAATAACAATTTGCTGCATGCAAGGGAAAGGAATATGCATACCATGCTACTCATTCCAACATGTAATTCATAGACTTAAGTGATTTTGGTCTTTTTGACTGGGGGTGTTTGAATACATTTCCTGTAACAGTATAAAAATCATTATTCAGGTTAGAGAGTACAAAAATTTGAGATAAGACACATTACAAATTAAACTAAGTTGACTGTACTTGAATAAGCGAGAACAAAATTTAGAAACTGATTTCATGTATGAAAAAGTACCAATCAAAATTGTTTTCTTAAAAACCTTTAAGGGCATTAATCTTAATATTAACGTTATAAAGGAAGACGCTCATCAAAACAACTTACTCTAAGATGAATCAGAAATTCATTATTTGTTTATTTAATCAATTAATCATATTTGTGTGCAGGCATGCATGCATGCTTTTGTCTTTGTATCTTCACACACATGCAGTCATTTTAAAATTATCATAAACATTATTTGGTATTTCTCATTTTCTCCAAGCTCCAAATATTTCAGCTGCTTATAGTTTGAAAAGAATAAGTTATATCATCTTTCCAGCAAAACTAAATCAAATAGCCACTAACTATACCCCTTCTGGCTAATCATTGTATATTCCGTTGTATGGGATTTCACCTGGTTCTCGAATAAAGAACTTGATCCACGCAAGAATGGAGTCCTTAATCCTAGATGGAGTTTCCGTATGAATCTACAATTATATGGTCACAAAATTAAAATAGATGCAAGAAAAAGGAGGTTATGATGAATGATAATTGACATGATCATAACAGTCCACGAGAATTTTTTTTTATTCATATTCAGCTTCTCTTTCTTTCTTCCTTCTTTTTAGGGCGGGAGTTAGTTGGATTTGAACTTAGCAACCTTGTTTCCGAGACATTTGTAGTACTCTAGTGATTTTTTCAGTTGATATTTCATCAAATTGGGTGGTAGTGATATCTTTTTTTGAAAGGGTTCGGCAATAGAGGCCTAAACAGGATTCGGCAATGAAGGCCTAAAATAGAATTCAGCAATGAAGGCTGAAAAATTTTGCTTCCTAAGAAAAGCCTAAAGCTCTGATACCATGTGAAAAAACTAAGAAATAAATTAGTGTGGAAACTGAATGCATATTAAAAAACTGCTCGTTAAGAATTACACAAGAACCTTAGGTTTATATACAACTAACTAGGGGTTAAACTAAGAAACTAAATCTTCCTAAAAAACTAATCCTATAATTAAGGGATTGTCTATCCTAATTTTTGTCCTTAATTCTAGGGATACAAATACTTAATTCTAGAGATACAAATATAAATATACAGATTACAATATTACAACCAGCTGTAAATAAGTGTTTTCCCACAGTTACATCAGTTCTACTTCTCTATATGACATAAAGTCAAAACTTTGATAATTAACTTATGAACATGCAGGTAGCTTATTATATAACACCAAGCAAAATAGAAAATCTGCAAACTCACTCAGATATTACTTGTAACCCATGATGGGTGTACATCATTGAAGTCTCATCATCAAATCTGAACCCATCAAACTTGTATTCTTCTAGCCACCATCTTGCATTTGAAAGAAGAAACCTTAGTACCTAAAGCAACTTGTAAAAATTAATATTTACACACAACAGGATGGAAGGAAGCCAAAATTTTTCAACAAGCTATTGTTTAAGAGAAGTTTTAGTAGAAGTACAAAGCTTCCATAATTAAAATGGTGAGAATCCCACATCCAGTGGTGACCCTTTGACCCTGAGTGGAAGTAACGAGCATCAGTTCCATCAAACATGTTCAATCCATCTAACATATTATTAGATGCATGCCTGTAGCCGTCAAACATCAATTAGATACAAAGATGGATGAGAAAATTAAATAATAACTTAATTTAACTAAAGAATAAAAATTAACTAAGACATGTAGCAAAAGATTACTTACTCAAAGCAATAGAGCAAATACTTGAATAAAAATTTGCTACAGCTTAGATAAGAATAACGAATTGCAAAAGATAAAAACTTTCATTGTAAACAATACAGTAAGATTCCATTTAGTAGTTGTTTTTGCTACTAGCTTTTTGCTTCCAAAGGCAAAAAGTACATTTGGGTAGAAAAAACAATAATATTTTAAAAGAATTAAAAATAAAAAATATAATCTCTTGTAGAACAAAATATTATGATTTCTCTTTTAATAGAACAATTATACTACAAATTCTATTGCATTTAACATATATATTTTCAAACAATTATGACTTTGCTTTCTCCCTTTTAGGTTTGCTCTTTAGAAACCTTTTAGGAAGCCAAAAGCAACTAGAAAAAACCATAGTAAGAGTAAGGACGAATAATAACCTAAATTCTCATGGCCATATTTGCATCAAGTCTACTAGAAGAATGACCATACAGTCTAAGCAGGAAAAGAAGAAGAAAAAGAGTTTATATTTTTATTTTTGGTACGAAAAAGCCAGGAAAAACAGTTTGCACAAAAACTGTAACAGCAAATAAAGCTGACCCAACTATTATTACCTGTGCACAACATCCATAAGAACAAGTAGACCCAACTCGTGAGCCCTATCTATCGGTGACTTAAGATCATCAGAGGTTCCAAAATGGCTGCTTGGTGCAAAAAAAGTATGTCACATGATACCTACAACATATTAAATGCAACTTGTTAAAAGTAGAAGAGATTAGTTTCCATAACCAAAACTAAATTCTGAAGAAATATTTCTGTTTACATCTAAAACATAAATTTTTAGTACAAATTAACAAACATAAACAGCAACAAATAAAGATGAGCTGATATTTTGATGGAGATAATACCCAAATCTAGCATAATACGAGTGCTCTTGAATTCCAATGACTTGAACATAATTATATCCAAGTCCTTTAATGTGGGGAAGCACATTATCTCTAATGTTGGCATATGTGTTAATTATTGGCTCCTGCATCTCAAAGTTGATAATATTAAGAAAACTAGGGAATGGATTAACCATACCAAAATGTAGCATGGAAGATAAAGACTAAAGGTGTTTGTGGGACAAATTTTCTTTGAATGACAGTATGATGAAAACTAGAGATAAATTTTGGTTTATTTGCAAATTTAGGCTTCTTAATGGGTTTTAGAAATGGGTGAAGAATCACAATGAAATGCAATCAAACCAACTTCTATGTTATTGATTTGAAGCTGCTATTTAAGATAATTCTATACACAAAGCAGTTAACAGAGATCCAAGTCACTAGCTGTTTGGCATTTGCATTATCATTAACTAAAGTCATACTCATTATTTAGTATAATCCAAATGGAAGGACTTCCTTTAACCAAAGAACACGAAATGTAGGCTGTGTACACCTACATGGCTTTTTGCTAGCTTAATTTGGCAGATTTTCTCTTTAAGAGTGGCCACCCTGCCTACGGGATGCAGGAAAGTTTCTTTTCAAAATTTACAGACCTTTCCAGATAGCTATACTATTTAATGCTCTTAAAGATGTTCAATACGAGTCAAAATGTCTCTCAATCTTCCTTTTTTTTTTTTTGGGTGGGGGGGTAAAATTGATAGTTTAAATACAAATACTAAGATAAGTTTTCCTGTAAAATGTATTGTCTTATAAAACTTCCTGCTTTACTTTTCGGTCTCAAAACCTTATAGGAACACTTCATAGGAAGGGTTGAAAGAAATAGCATAAAAAATAAGATCCCACACATGATAGCATTTAATGAAGCTTTTTATCAAACTTAAGGCTTCCTCTTTTAAGATTAAATAAATCAAGGAAATGCGATTCAGCATAGAGACAGAAGAGTTGAATAACAATTTGCTACATGCAAGGGAAAGGAAGATGCATACCATGCTACTCATTCCAACATGTGATTCATAGACTTAAGTGATTTTGCTCTTTATGGCTAAGGGTGTTTGAATACATACTTTTCCTATTACAGTATAAAAATCATTAGTCTGGTTAGAGAGTACAAAAATTTGAGATAAGACACATATTTCAGACTAAACTAAGTTGACTGTGCTGTGCAGTGATTAAACTTGAACAAGCAAGAACACAACTTAGAAACTGACTTCATATATGAAAAAGAACCAATCAAAATTGTTTTCTTAAAAAGCTTTAAGGGCATTGAGCTTAATATTAACGATAGAAAGGAAGACGTTCCTCAAAACAACCTACTCTAAGATGAATAAGAAATTCATTATTTGTTAATATAATCAATTAATCATAATTGTGTGCAGGCATGCATACATGCTTTTGTCTATGTTTTTCCACACATATGCAGTCATTTTAAAATTATCATAAACATTAGTTGGTATTTCTGATTTTCCCCAAGCTCCAAATATTTCAGCTGCTTGTAGTTTGAAAAGAATAAGTTATCTAATCTTTCCAACAAAACCAAAAGATCAAACAGCCACTAAATGTACCTCTTCTGGCAGATCATAGTATATTCCATTGTATGAGATTTCACCTAGTGCTTGAACAGAGAACTTGATTCAAGCAGGAATGGAGCCCTTAATCCCAGATGGAGTTTCCATACGAATCTACAATTATATGGTCAAAAAGTTAAAATGGACACATGGAAAAGGAGGTTTGGATGAATGATAATTGACATGATCATAACAGTCCACCAGAAAAATGCTTTTTTTTTTGTCCATCTTCATCTTTTCTTTCTTTCTCCCTTCTTTTTAGGGCGGGAGTTAGTTGGATTTGAGCTCAGCTACCTTGAATAATTTTGCTTGACTTGGAGACCACCCCATTAAATACTTCAATGCCTTTATGTCATGAATTCTAGTAATTAATTATTGTGAAGGTTGTAGTACAAACCAATGATTTATTCAAACCATATGCACATGCAATAGGATCAGTGTAAAAAAAAAGCATCATGCTTAAAGGTTCCTAGTCCATAGGTCATGATCCAAAGGTTAAATACATTGTTGATCTACAAGGAAAGAGTTGCAAGATTAAATAAACAAGTAGCATTTGAATGTAAGCACAATAACTTTCAAGAGCCAAACTTATGTCCATCTATAGGTAATTTACCTTCACTTGAGAACCATGGGGAATTGGTGGTGAACCATCAACATTATTAGGCCAAAAGATCTCCCAAACGCCAAACTCATTCTATTAAAAAACAATTAATATTTGTAGAATTAAACACTAGATGTTATTTAAATATAGAAATAGACATTACCAATGTAAATCAACACAGCTTTCTAAGCACTTAGAACACAGTCACCTTCCCTTTTATACTTGAGACTGCATGGCATTAAATATATGAATTTGTTGATACAATTAATTGTTACATAAGCAAGGTGACTTTTGCACTTAATTATAAAAACTTTGACAAGGTTTATCTTCTTTTCTATTTGGAGCTTTTAAGAATACCAACTGCACCAGACTATACACCTAATCTTTGGTCCATTAAGAAAAATATTCATGCTCACATATATATATATATATATATATACATAAAAAGATCCATGTTTACATTCAGATTTAACATTAAGCTAGTGTTTTGATAAACCAAGCTTAAATAACCTTTAACTTCTTTCAGCATGAGCATTTAGAGAAGATATAAGCATTGACTTATGAACAGCTGCTATTGCAAATACTACAGTTTCTTAAGGCATACATCTTAGAGCCCATAGGTCAGAGTCAAAGAGAAAAGCAGGGGAGACAGTAGTTCATTAAAAGTAACACAAATGATGTGTAGTTCATCAATAGATATAAAATTGCAAGAAGGCTGCCTCAGAAACAAAGTGTGGAGTTACTGATATTTTGACAGCACCAACTCCATCTTGTGACTGCATTATGTATGTCATGTATAGGAGGAGAGGAATCAGAAAGCAATCAAAGAAAATCATTTGTAGGTGCTTCTACTAAAGTATTGCTCAATTATTATGTACTTCACTACACTTAATGTCAAGTAACCCATCAATGGCAGGTCAGTTCTCACAGACATGGAAAATAACAATTCAATACACACATGGCATTTATTCTTGTAGAAGAAAGCATAACATACCCGGCTCATAATATCTACATTAGGGTTCCAATTGTTGAAATCTCCAATCAGTGCTAATGACTGAAAAAGAAAATGCAGTAAAATAATCACAAAAATTGAAGAGAAAATAGAAAACTTAGAAGTTAATAAAGACGTTTTTGATTGCATAGAAGTTAGTAAGATTAATGGTTAAAATCTCATAATGTTATTAAGATTCCAAAAATTATTAATTAAAAGATTTAAAAAATTAATCTATTTACCAAAAAAATTTAAATAATTATGACTATTTGAATAATTATCTATTTCAAATTACTATAACCTTTTGTTTTGTCATAAAATGATTTTTTCTGTTCGTAGAAGCTTATTTCGAATAAGATATTACAAATTTATTAATATTAAGACAATTAATAAGTAAAAGATTTAAAAAATAAATCTATTTACCTAACAAGTTCAAATCTTTATGAGTATTTAAACAATTATTTATTTCAAATTGTTATGTTATTTTGTTTTGTTACAAATAAATTTATTTCTATTTATAAAAGCTTTTTCTAAATGAAATAGTACTAATTTATTAAAATTAACAAGAAATTTGGAGATCAAATTAACACCATGAGAAAAATCACAGGCATCGTAACATATAAGTCTATAAACTTGACCACTAGATATAAAAATAAGTAGTTATCAATTTTTTTTTATTTATGTGAAATTGGTCAACTTATTGAATTTATCTTATTTTAAAAAAATCCTAAGCTTGACTAGGAGTATAAAAGAATAGACTATGGTTTTTTAAATAGAACTTAGTTCAAAAGTTTAATTACGTGTGAGAAATTAGTATCAATTAATCATATATTATTCTAAAATTAATCTTAATTAAAATGATATTTAGAGTCATTTTTTTTATCTTTTCTTAATTAAAAGTAAATAAAAATTCTTTTTATTGGAATATATTTTATATTTTCTAAAAATATACATAATAAATAAATAAATAAATAACGATAAATTAATAAATGAATAATAATAATAAAACAAAAATTTTTTTAAAAGTAAATGAATGACAGGAAGGAAAGGAATGACAATACCAAAGTTGGGCAGATTTAAATTTTTGGGCTTGATCTTTATTTCTTCAAGTGGACATATCTAAGTTGTCGAATTAAAGGACTGGGAAGACAAATATAGCTTTGGAGCGGCGGGTCAAATTGAACAAACCTGTTCCTTCATCTTCTTTATTTTAATGATTTTGTACCTCCCACAAACAAAACGTCTAGTTTCAAAGAATGTCCGTTATTCTAAAAATAAACCCTGATTTTTCTTTCCCTTTTTACCCTTAAAGTCAGACAGTACTTCCCCTAAATAAACAGAACACAAATTTCAACAAATTTCAAATTACTTATTAGTCAGACCTACTGGATCAACAAAATTTCAATTTAGTTAATGCTGAACCATACAATATGTTTAGTTAACCATGTTTGTTTTAATCGAAGGTAAAATATGTTTATTTACTTACAAGTCAATTATGTTAATCATGTTTGTTATAGTTGTGATTTTGGATGATGTATTTGATTAATTGAAGGTTTTTTTTACATGTTCATATATTCATTGCTACAGCCGGTTCTTTCTTATGACGACCTTGTCTGCCACCAATAGAGAGCAGCCCATGTGGTGGAAAAAATAATTGTATGCATATATAAAGCCTTTTCTAATGGAGATCTTCCTAGAAATTTATCATAGTAGATTTTGCTTTGAACAAATTTCAGAGTCTCTTTACTAGAAATTGTATACATATAAAAGCCTTTTCTAATGCAGCCTTTTCCATTAAAGATGTTGTAAGCTGTGAAAAAAATGCGCTTAAGTAAATTTCTTTCTCATGAGTTTTGCACCGATTAGTCAAAAGTTGATGGTAGAAGAAATACTCAAGCCATGCAAAATACAAGGGAGGTCTGAATGTTGGTTGAAAGGTATTAAAGTTTGATGGAATCCAAGGGTTAACATAGGATTCTGTTTTGATATGTTCATTTATGCTTTAATCAGACAATTAAAGTATCCTAAGCCTGAAGTCAGATTTGAATCAGACAATTAACTTCTACAATATATTTTGATGATGTCTGCTTATTTTGGAGAGTAATGTTTTTTTTTTTTTAATTTCCTATCTGCAGGACTATTTAATTTCTTATGACCCTATTTTTAATGCAATATACCACAAGGACTCCATTGCCTGGAAAGCCACTGATGTATAATATTATAAATAATTTTATCTGCAGGACTACGGTTGGGGTTATTTAATAGTATAAATTATTTCATTATTTCATTATTTTTGGTTGTCTATAATATAATTTTAATAATATGAATATTCCCTAAATCATATTTTTAACCTTATGTTTGAGATGTGGTTTCGATAACAGAAAGCTTAATGAAAAACTCAAAAGGAAGACTATGTACAAGCAATGGCATAATCTTGAAGTGACAGAGTTAAAAGGAGCATTACCTCAAAGAGTCAAGATTGTCCAATTTGACGACGTCCAAGTTTGAACAATACCCTACATCAAGGCAATAAGAGGAGCAAAAGTAGTTAGACAAGACATAAAGAAGAGACAACGGCTCAACCCTGTATGATTGATGTAGGAAGGAGAGCAGTAAACCTCTATTTGTCCGCCTTGCTACGGCATCTTTGTTTGTTGGTCAAATCATGTTATTCATGGAATATGCGATACATGATATTAGGAGCAGTGTCATTTATCACCCCAAACCCCCAAAAGGCAGGTAAATAGATTATTAAAATAATCGGGAAATAGAAGACACGTAATAAACGAAATTGTGAGATACATTACCTCTTTCAAACTTTCCTTGTGTGATTACCAACGATTACCCTTTTGAACAGAAAAATGTACAGGAAAAAAGTAAATATCTGCAATACGAGAAAAATTGGTATTAAATAAAAGACAAGAGTCCAATGTTGGCAAAGCAGAAGTCCCTATTCATCTCAAGTCATGTCAGACACATCCCAGAACACTACTTTACATCAACGGACTACTGATTGCTGCAAAATAATGAAATCGATCAATGAGACATTATCTGTTTGGAAGAGAAAGCGGGTAAAATAGAGGAAAACCTGTTGCAAATAGAGGGATTGTGTGCGTCGCCAGAAATCGAAGATGTAAAACCTGTTACCAATAGAGGGATAGTTTTCCTCCCGATTCAGAAACCCTAATAAGATGGGGAGGGCAGGTATCTGAACTGGTGTAGGCGGGACCATCCAAATTGACTTGGCAAAATAAACTTTTATCCGAACACAGATACGGTGCGCTTCCGCGAAAAATGTTGGTTCCGCTTTCATTCGGTAATTATGGTCTATCAATTATTAAAACGGTGCGTTTAAGTAAAATTAGGGTGTGCTTTAAGTGGTGATGTATCCATCCCAACTTCAAATGGCGATAGCTTTGCGCCCGGTGGTCGGATCGAGACAATTTTTTTTTTATTCCATGTAACTTTTTGAGATCTATGCGTTGGGCAGTTTGCCGACAAATTTTCTCAAAAAACCCTTGTTTTGGGTTTGAAATTTAATTTTTTTATTTTTTTAATGAATTTTAAAATATTAAATTGGCTCATTAGCCTTCTTTGTTGAGATCAAAATTGAATTGGATTGTATGAAATCAAGGTGGATTAAATGTGTGCCATCAAAGAGTCCAAAATTTTATTTCCTTATAACACTTATTATAGCTAATATAAAAGTTAGTTTAATATTGTTAAATTTAAAATATTGTATTGGATAATATTTTGTTGTCTAATTTCTACTGCTTGGGTTCAAATCTTTTTAATAGCGATTCAAAAGGTTTTTTTTTTTTAATATCCAAGTTTCTTTCACATAAGTCATGAGTCATAGGCTTTTTTTCAAATAACTCTTTTAAATATCCAAGTTTCTTCTACAAAACTCTTACATATCTATGTTTCTTCTACATAACTTATGAACCATAGACTACAACTTTTTTTCACATAAATTCTATTATTGTGCTTAAATTACTCGTTTTGAAGCTAAAACAATTGGTGGGGAATTCCTTTCAATTTGTTATTAACACATTTACAGATAGTTAATTTTAATTTATCAATTGTCACTATATTGATTTAGGTACTTAATTATGTGGTAACTAAATTGGTCAAACCTTAAGTTGTTCGAAAGAAGAGTTGTGTCGATGGTGGTCGAGACAAGTGCTCATTCATAGGCAAGACTTCAACTCCAAAACTTGATTATCCAAGATTAGCCTTCAATCAAATAAGGTGCTCTGGAACTCAATAAGATTAGCCTTCAATCAAATAAGTTATTGCAAAACACACATCACACATAAAAATTACAAATGATAGAAAGAAAATAAGGTAATATAGGCAAGAATAATTTATATTCACTCAATGGTTGTTGTGTACAAATGAGGGTGGTCTTTTTACATTAATGGCTAAGATTGAACGAATCTAGTAGCTCTCATAAAGTCTATAGATTACATTGGTTAACAAGATTACATAGAATCCATGATTACATAGAGATTACATCGATTAACAAGATTACATAGAAGATGTCTTAGAGATGATTTAGTACCATGATTACATAGTCAATCCTTGATTCTAGGAAGTGATTTAGCACCACAATCTTTAGCATCTTTGATCTTCTAGAAAGATGTTGATTAATTGATGGTAGTGATTAAGACTCTAGAAGCTTAAGCATGGTGTTCAGGTTTGGCAGAATTAAGCTAGGCCCAAGTGTAAGAATTGATGAGTGGTGCACGGGCACACAATCAGACGTTTAAGCATATAGAGTTTATTCACATTCCATCCAAGACAGCACGGTGTTTGGTTTGAGACTAGAGCCTGTGACATCAGCACCTACAGAAGAGGTGTTCGGGGGATTAAGTGCTAGGTACCTATCAAAGAAGAGCTTGAGGCAACATCTTGGGGCAACAACGAGCCAGCATCTGCAGTCAATGGTGTTGGACACAATTGGCTACACTAGCCAAAGGTCAGATGCTATCGATGACGTTCGAGGTAACAACCTGCATCGAAGGCCAGCGTGTAGCGATGGAGTTCGAGGGAAGTGCCCAACACCCGAGCCCAGGTGTGGGCGCTTGGTACGCAACCTAGCATGTGCTGATGGTGTTTGAGGGAATTGCCTGCATAAAGGGTCAGCATGGGCCGATGTTGGTCGAGGCAAGTGCTGAGACCAATGGCCAACATGTCCCAATGGTGGTCGAGGCAAGGGCATGTGTCACAGTCAGCAAGCAAGCTGGGACTAGCCCTGGGGTTTTGGCCAATGATGGTCGATGCATGTGCTACACCATATGCCAGCATATGCCGTTGATGGTCGATACCTTGGCTAAAGTTCAATTTTAGGCCACGATGCACATACTGGGCTTGAGCATGTGCTGATGCTATATTTTTTTACCTAAGGCACCATCATCGGAGCATCGTCGGAGAACCTAACTAGCGGCATGAGGGTTTCGACGATTGAGGGTGGGAGGTCGAGGGGTGTGCGCACATAATGTGCGATGGGTATTGGTACTTGGCCCTTATATTGTCCCCCTATCTTGCATGTAACTTCAAGAACTCACACCCTCTTAGAAAGCATTTGAGCTTTTAAATGTTTACTGCCAGTAGTAATTTAAATATCTAAAATGGGGATACTTCTTTCAAATGGTGACAAAATCTTTTACACTTTAATTTTTTAGCTAAATTGTTTTAGGCATGCCAAAAAAATACAAAGATTAGGTCTACCAAATTTGGGGTCGAAACTCTTTAAAAAATTTTAGAGAAATCTTGAACCATAAAATTTTTAAAAATCGTGAAAAATATAAAATCAGTCATCTTGCTATGAAACTTCACATGAAGGCTTAAGGGACCATTGTATGAATTTACAAGCCATAAAAAATGGCATTGGCACAGTAAAAATATGAAGATGTGCCTAAACCTATCCACTACTTAATCGAGATGCGCATGGTGCTCGAACTTGGCTCAAGACACTGATGCGTAGTGCACAGGCAATGGGGAACGCTTATATGAATTCACAGGCCATAAAAATGGCTTTGGCATGACAGAAATATGAGGTTGTGTTTAAACCCACCTACTGTCCGATCGTGGTACACATGGTGTGTGGCCTAGCTTAGGTACAGAAGTTTAGTGCTCGACCCAGTATATGTCAATGGTATTAGAGGGAACTGCCCGCATAAAAGACTAGCATGTGCTGATAGTGGTCGAGGCATGTGCCATGACCAAGGGCCAACATATCTCGATGATGGTTGAGACAAAGACATGTGTCACGATCAGCAAGCAAGCTGGTACTAGTCTTGGGGTTCTAGTGGGATAGGGTCTGATAGCCTAGGGGACTAGGCCTTGAGGTTTACTTGAGGCACAGGTAGAGGGAACTAGATCAGGATAGTGGTACGGGCAGCGATTAGGACTCCAAAGGCTCAAGCACAGTGTTCAGGTTTAGCAAAATTAAGCTAGGACTAGGTCAGTTGATAGTGGTGCACCTACGAAGGATTTCACCAATTAGCTTTCTTATGGCTTACAGGTTTTCTAACCTATTGACTCACACACATATCAGGCTCCTTAGTCCATGTTTCAAGATGTGTCGGATGAGGACTTCGCAGGTCGATGTCAAGAGCACTCCGATTTTGGGGCACACAGAGACGACGCATGCTGCGTTCCACGATTGTAATGATGATGTCTTCGTAGGCATATTGAAAGCTCAGGCTTGGGCTATCATCATGACCCGTGTTAGTTTACACCTTAAGCCAATTGGTCGACCAGCTCTCGTCGTTCCACATCTGACCGAGGTATATTGTTAGGCTTCATCTGACTTGAGGTGATAATGTGAGCATCAGTTGAGTGATACAGGGGTTTCGACGAGCTTTAAGAGGATAATGAGAGTGCATCACCAAAGACGAAGCATGCTATGAGCTTTACCATTAATAGTCATAATGCTGTCATTATCGGGGACTCACTTTTGGGCCAACCATAATCGATCGAATCATGAGAGGCCATTTTCTACCTCCTTCCCTCCCTTTGAGTAAGATGAGTAAGTGGGTCAGAGAGGGGTGATAGTGCATTACACCCAAGTAGGTATGCCTTCAACCTAGTGCCTTAGGACATACCAAGGGCCAGCATGTGTTGATGGTGTTTGATGTAACTGCCTGCACCTAGGGCCATCTCTTATCGATGTTGATCGAGGCATGTGCCTGTTGTTTGAGGGATGCATGTATTGATGGTGGTTAAGGAAAGTGCTATACCAATGGCTAGCTTGTATCGATGGTGGTCGAGGCATGTGCTCACTCTAAGGCTTAGCATACGTCGATGGTATTCGAGGTAGATACCTGAACCAAGGCCCAACATGTGCTAATGATGCTTAAGGCAACTGTCTACATACACCAAAGGCCATCTTCTATCGATGTTGATCGAAGCATGGCACGTGTCAATGGTGGTTGAGGCTAGTGCCCGTACCAAAGGTCAGCTTATGCTGATGGTGGTCAAGGCATGTGCTTGCATCGATTCCAGATTATGCTAATGTTGATCAAGGCATGCATGTGTCGATGATGATTAAGGTAAGTGCATGTGCCAAAGGCCAACATGTACCGATGGTGGTCAAGGCAAGTACCTATACCAAGGGCCAACTTGCACCGATAATGGTCAATACATGTGCTCGCACTATATTCCAACATGTGCCGTTAACTGTTGAGGCCTTGGTTAAAGTTTAATTTTGGGCCATAGTGTACATGTTAGGCTTGAGCATGTGCTAGTGCCGTATTTTTTCACTTAGGGCACCATCGTCGGGGCATCGTTAGAGAACCTGACCAGTTGCATAGGGGTTTCAGTGATTGGGGTAGAGAGTCAGGGGGTGTGTGCACATGATTTATGATGGGTATTGGTACTTGGCCCTTATATTGGCCCCTTATCCCACATGCAACCTCGAGAGCTCACAATCTCTTAAAGAGCATTTGAGCTTTTGTAGGTTTGTTGTCAATAGCCATTCAAGTGTCTGAAATGGAGACACTTCTTTCAAATGGCCATAAATCATCTACACTTTGATTTTTTAGTTGAATTTTTTTATGCATGCCAACAAAAATACAAGGATCAGGTATACCAAATTTAAGGTCGAAACTCCTAAAAAAATTAAAAAAAAATCTTGAACCATAAAAAATTTTAAAAATTATAAAAAATAAAAAATGAGTCCTCTTGCCATGAAACTTCACATGAAGGCTTAGAGGACCATTGTATGAATTTACAAGCCATAAAAAATGGCATTGGCACAATAGAA